CATTCGTTATGGCACAAAAGTCAAGGAAAAGTATGAGCTGGTGATGATGGTCAAGGTTTGATGATGATCATCACTTAATGACTTGATTCACTGATCTAATTTAGAGTCTAATCTCTGATTATATTATTAGTTGTATTCAAAAAGAGATTCTACAACATAAGAACTAACAATGTTATGATCAGATAGTATGGAGGATTTTACAGAAATTTAATTGATTACCAAAACTGACACAGATATCAAGATTCAGCATATGAATCTCATCAGTGGTGAGGTGACTAGGGTTGGGTATCGTTTGAATTTGAACGATTTTGATTCCGATTCCTTGTTTCGATTCCGGTTCCTAACGATTCTCGATTCCGATTCTTTTAAGAGGCAGGGTCAAAAAAGTTTAGCTAACCTTGCTAACCAACGGCCTTTCGGAAGGAAATAATCCTTTCTGAAGGAAATACTCCTTCTGTCACAAATACTCCTTTTGTCACAAATTTTGCATTTTGCCGAGATTTCGATATTTTTAGAAAAGTGAAGCCACACTTTGGACCGCCGACGTAAGCTACTCATGTTCGACTCGCGCGGTTATGCCAACACTTCCGGTAGATGCTTCTTCGTTTGGTGTTGTTCAGCGGTTTCTTCTTCCGCTCGTCGGACTGTGAATATTGAAACTAGGAATCGAAATTTTTGAACGATTCCGGGAAAAATGAAAAGTTAGTCCCGATTCCAATCGATACTCGATTCTCGATACCCAACCCTAGAGGTGACCATTAAAAAATGGTTCATACTGCAATGCATGCATTGCAGCATGACTCGTTTTTTAATGGTCACCATTGTTGAGATGCATATACTGATTCTTGATGTCTGTGTAAGTCCGTATGATACCATAGAGGTTTTTAAAATCTGATTGAAACGACTACGGGCCTTGCAGCAAAATCACACTTCTTTTATAATGAATAATACAAGTTATACATCAGATTATTCTCTAGAAAATATCAGAGAATCAAAACACTAAATGATCATGAATCATCATCAAAACAAAATCTTCTTTTGGCTTTTGTGCCATAACAATTGTGTTAGTCTTTAATTGCTCAGTGTTGCAGTTGGTCTGATGCTCCCAGCCATGTTGGCTTGACTTATCGTGTTCATTGCTCTTGGTCCTGATAATTGCCTCTTTGTAGCTATATTCTGCCTATTGTTGCTCTACTGCCATTGAAGTTTAGTGCAGCCAAATGCTCGGAAAGAAAATGTATAATTGGGAATTTCCCAGACTTTCTAATTTCTAGACATGTGAACAGTTGGTTCTTTCTGTGTTGATCAGGAATCCTCTTTTCTAATGGAGAGAACTGGAGAGAGATGCGACGCTTCGCTCTCAGCAACCTGCGGGACTTCGGGATGGGCAAGAGAGGAAGTGAAGAGAAAATCATAGAGGAAATTCACTATCTGAAAGGAGAGTTTGATAAGTTTGAAGGTACAAGCTGAAACACATTTATGGACATCTGCAATCATGCTCTTAGTTTAAAGGACCCGTTGAGAGACGTTTGTTCCCGATTGGTCAGTTACTACTTACTACAGTTATCTTGCTATCCAATACACATTTGCATGTAATCATTTGCATAAGCTGTGCGACCTCGTTAGCAGCTTGGGATTGCACTTCAGTTTTTTGCTTCGAAGCCAACACTTTGATGCTGTTTAAATTAAACTACAAGCCTTCTACGAGGACTTCTCTCCATGGTGTTGCAGCCTTTTTCTCTCTCTCTTACCGAGCAAGTAAAAGCTGTTCTGGTAATGTGCTGGTAAGATACGGAGTGCACAAAAGCTGTTTTCGGAGCTGGTAACCAGCGAGAGAGAGAGCGCACACAGACGGGTGCACTTTCCTGTCTGTGATCGGGGTGGCTATTCCCCTGTGTATTGGCTTGTTTTAGTTTCACTGAAGTAGATTGCCGCTCTAGCGAGATTCCTATTGGTCAGTCTATTTATTCATTTAGCTGACGCTTTTATCCAAAGCGACTTACAATTGCTATTTATGTCAGAGGTTGCATGCCTCTGGAGCAACTAGGGGTTAAGTGTCTTGCTCAGGGACACGTTGGTGTCTCACAGTGGATTCAAACCCTAGGACTCTCACACCAAAGGCATGTGTCTTATCCACCCCAGACTGACCTATGTCTCCATTCCCTCCCTCAGGGAACATTATATGTTACCAAATGGGTATGGGTTACCATATGCAACCGAGACGTTTTCTCTTCACAGGGAAACCCTTCGACACAACACAGCCTGTGAACTACGCTGTGTCAAACATCATCTCATCTATTGTGTACGGCAGCAGATTTGAATACACAGACCCTCGATTCACGGAAATGGTCGACAGGGCAAATGAAAATGTTCGAGTTAGTGGATCGCCTTCTATGATGGTATGGAAATGTTTTACTGTATGGTTTTGGTGACTTTATTTATTTATTATTTTTTAGAATCATTAATACATGCATTTTTTTTTTCTCTCTGTATGTACTTGCAGCTTTATAATATATTTCCGTGGTTGGGTCCGTTCCTCAACAGCAAAAGGATTATTGTAAGAAATTTGTTGAAAAATAAAGCAGAAATGACGAGGTTGATCACTGAACTGCTGGAGACTCTGAATCCACACGAGCGCAGAGGGTTTGTCGACTCCTTTCTCATCCGCAAACAGAGCGACGAGGTACTGAAATCACCTTGTTCCATAGAAATACAGGAGAAAATAAAAAGTAATCATCAGCTTGTTTATAAAACAATAGACTATTTAAACTATTTATAAACCTTTTTTATTATTATTGAACTTAGTTATTAAATTAAATAATCGGCTATTTTTTTTTTTTTTGATCGTGGATCTAATGACGCGGATGAGAGAGGAACTACTTATATGAGTATTTCTCTCTGACGTCAGGAGAGACAAGACAGAGCGCATAAACACTCTTCAACAGGAAATCATCTGCAGCACTGTTTAGGATTTATTCAAGAATGTCTTTAAATACATTTGTTTAGCTGGCCGCTGTAGGTGTCCGTTTGTTTAAAACCAAATCATGTCCTCATAAACCACGAGTAAACACAAAAAATTTTGTAAGTTATAACTTGCGCATGACACGGTGTTCTAAAAACACTGGCTCATGTTCAAATCATTTCTACTTTTAAAAAACTCAAAATTAACATGAGATTGACTGAAACTGAGTTCCCCACCCACCCCCTTTAATAGACCCAAGTTAACATGAACTAACGGTTCTTCAAAGATTAACATGAGAACTAACGGTTCTTCAAAGTTTTCACAAGATATCTTATTATTTTTCGCCTTTTGTTCTTAAACTACACCTGAATGATTTTCAATATCTTCAAATGTATTTAGTTTTTAATGTATTATTAATGTATTATAATCAATGAAGAACTTTTTTTCATTAGTATTTTATAGAAAGTATGAATCTGGGATAAACAAAGTAAAGTATAAACAAATCTTTGTGGATTTGTACTTGTCAGCAATCCTGCAAGAAGGACTCATACTTTCACCAGGAGAATCTTCTTTTGACGGTGGGAAATCTGTTTGCTGCTGGCACTGACACGACAGGAACGACTCTGCGCTGGGGTTTGATGCTCATGGCCAAATACCCTCATATACAGGGTAAAAACAGTAGTTTAATGTGTTTGTTCCCATGCAGATTTTTACTTGTTAAGTTTTTTTTCCCACATCAGCTGAATGCGTTTGATTTGTAAAACACAAAAATATGCCATAACGCAGATCGAGTTCATGAGGAGATTGACCGAGTGATCGGTGGACGTCAGCCAGCGGTGGAAGATAGAAAGAAATTACCGTATACAGACGCTGTGATTCATGAAACCCAGAGACTGGCTAACATAGTGCCCATGAATCTCCCTCATAAGACCAGCTGTGATGTTCACTTCAATGGATACTTCATCAAGAAGGTCAGGCAGAAGAATAAATATTTAGTCCTACAAACGAGACCATGTGCATCTTGAACATTTTCTTTTCTCCATTTTCTAGGGTACCACTGTAATTCCTCTGCTGACGTCTGTTTTGAAGGATCCAAGCGAATGGGAGAAACCGAACAGCTTTTACCCAGAACACTTCCTAGATGAGAAGGGCCAGTTTGTCAAGAGAGATGCTTTCATGCCCTTTTCTGCAGGTATACGCTCAACTCTAAACACCCAGTGTTTTGAAGAAATAAACATTTGATTTGGAATTAAAAACAGTCTTTTACTTTCTCTCTTACTTACTTTCTTTCTCTCTCTCAGGCCGAAGGGTTTGTTTGGGAGAGAGTTTGGCCAGGATGGAGCTCTTCCTGTTCTTCACTTCCCTCCTTCAGAGCTACCGCTTCACAACTCCACCTGGAGTGTCTGGAGATGATCTGGATCTCAAGGGAATAGTCGGAATAACATTGAATCCGTCCCCACACAAGCTGTGTGCGATCAGACGCTCCTGATACTGGACAGTCCAAACAGAAACAATATATTTTACATCATTTTAAATAAAAACTGATTTTACTTGTTATGAGTAAATTCAAAAATTGAAGTATGCGAATAACTCGACACACCTGATGAGAAATGTGTATAATCACTTCTGACTTTTGCATTGCATGAAACTCCTTGAGAAGCAGGTTCATGTGTAATGTTGGTTAATTTTTATGTTAAAATTTTATTGTAAAATATATAAAGAAAAGTGTATGTTGTTCATGGTCGCATTGAGTTTTCATTCATGACGTGTTCCCTTTATTCTAATATTTGTTAACACTTAATTTTGTTGGTCTTCCATTGTAATCTTTGCAATTTGCTTAATCTAAAGCAATTATTCCACATAAATGACAACATATTTGATGTACAAAAGCTTTGTCATTGATTCTTGTTTTTTTTTTCTGTAGGCTACCTGTCAGGTTGTTGACGAGGACACAGAACTGCAGTATAGTTGATTTATTTTCAAACTAAACTTAAACAGGAATAAATGAAAACTCCAGGATATCAGGACACACAACCATACACCAACAATGATCAACCCACAAACACTGAGGGAAAACACAGGGCTTAAATGAACGGGGACTGATGGGAAAATTAACTAGGTGACAGGAATTACTAATGAGACTGCATGAGCGAGAAACTAACAGGACTGAACCAAAATCACAAAGATAGGGGAAAACAAGATTACAAAACAGAACTCAAACACATAGAAACCGTGACACTACCTATTAGTTCAATAATAAAAAAATAGTATTCTTAAAAAATATATAACTGTTGCTTTAACTGTAATCTACTGTGCATTTACAGCATGATTTACACCAACAACACTGGATTGTTTCCTGGTTTTTGACAGTCTCCACTCCAAGACCAGAAGAAGCCACTCCTACTTTATCTCTGTTGAACTGGTTTTATGGGTATTGCCCTGAGAAAATGGCTTTCATGGAAGCATTTCTTCAGGTTTCCAGCACAGGAACATTAATATGTTGCTTGCTTCTGCTCTTGGTTGTTTATCTCCTATTCTTCAGGTCTCAGAGAGATGAAAATGAACCTCCGGGGCCAAAACCGTTGCCACTTTTGGGAAATCTGCCAATGTTGGATATCAACAAACCACACTTGAGCCTATTTGAGGTAAGTATGATTGACATCAGTCCTATTGGGCAACTGCTTCAGCTTTGTTTCCAATGTATAATCAGTAGAGAGCCTCGAAGTGTTGATAAACTGGCCTGGTGAGTTTTTACAGAGAACAATTCTGGTTGTTTCCACAGAGTAAAAAATCAATAGTTTAGTTAGTTAGTTAGTTTATTTCGCTTAACTTAATAGAAAAGGTAAAAAAAAAAAAATGCAAACATTCATGAAAACATAATTAAATTACAATGCAAAGAATTTAAACACTTATGACTTTTCTTTTCTTCTGTGAAACACAAAAAAAACATATTATGATGAGCCTATTAACTCCCACTGTATGGACAAAACATATCGGTAACACTTTAGAATACGGTTCCTTCGTTAATGAATAACTACACAAGAACTAATGAGTAACACAATATTAACAATCTAGTAACTATTATTAACTAACAAGAAACTCTGATTAACGAACTAGTAAGTAATAGCGCACAGACGAAAGTGGTAGTTCACTATTAAGTAATCAATAACTACTTTTTTTTAATACTCCCCAGAGAACTACTGAAAACGTTTATTAACAATCTAGTAACTACTATTAACTAAAAGAAATTCTTATTAACGAATTAGTAAGTAATAGCTCACAGATGAAAGTGTTACTAGATACTTCTGTGGGAATTACTAATTATTTGGATTCGTATTATAAAGTGAAGATCATTGGAACTAACTAGTAATTACTCAAGTGTTACTAAAGACATTTTCTAAAAGTTACTAAAGTTCACCAAAAAATCTCAAACATTTGCACAAATCATGACTAGATCATGTAGTAACACTTGAGTCATTACTAGTTAGTTCCAATGATCTTCACTTTATAATACGGATCCAAATAATTAGTAATTCCCACAGAAGTATCTAGTAACACTTTCATCTATGAGCTATTACTTACTAATTCGTTAATAAGAGTTTCTTTTAGTTAATAGTAGTTACTAGATTATTAATAAACTTTTTCAGTAGTTCTCTGGGAAGTATTAAAAAAATAGTAGTTATTGATTACTTAATAGTGAACTACCACTTTCATCTGTGCGCTATTACTTACTAGTTCGTTAATCAGAGTTTCTTGTTAGTTAATAATAGTTACTAGATTGTTAATATTGTGTTACTCATTAGTTCTTGTGTAGTTATTCATTAACGAAGGAACCGTATTCTAAAGTGTTACCAACATATCTTCTCTTGTTCCACAGAATAAAGTCAAATAATGTTTGGAACAGATTTATTTCTCCTTTTAAATGTAACATCTCTTTCAACAGATGGCAAAGCAGTTCGGACCAGTTTTCACAGTCTACTTTGGTCCAAAAAAAGTGGTTGTGCTAGCTGGCTACAAAACAGTGAAGCAAGCTCTTGTTAATCATGCAGATGAATTTGGAGACCGAGAAATCACGCCACTGTTCCATGATTTCACTAAAGGTTATGGTAAGAGCAGCCCAGTCTCCTGACAATATACTTAAAGGGTTCATGAACTGGCTTTTTAAATTTTATTATATTGTTGTCTGCGGTCAACTTACGACGTTCGCTTGGTTTTTACATTAAAAAACATCAAAAATAATAAGTAAGAGGCTATTTTCTACCCTAGTTTTGCTGAAAAACGTACAGTTTTTATGGGCATAAACGTAAACGCCCACTGCTGTGAGTGGATAACAGTTTTGCATATTATAATGAGTAATGAGTCAACTCACTCGTCGCCGGTGCACGTGGGGGAAATTGCTTTGAAAACGTCCAATGTTGTAAAATGGCAACCGGAATTGATTCGCCCATACATGTTCGACCCAGAGTCCGTGTGTTGCACCATTCCTGTCAGATCCAATATAGACGGCACAGCACTGTCTGCAAATCCAGTCTCGACCTGTGTCTTGTTTACAAAACAATCCTCAGTGAAATGAAGCGAACAGATGGACAATGTTTTCCCTCATCAGCTGGAACGTCTTAAAAAAACTTTAACCGTGCAGTCCTATTGGAAGAGGAAGTTTGAAGTAGGAGTTGATCTTATTCTGCAGGGGTGCTGTTTTATCCTCTTTGACGTCATAGTTCCCCACTTTGAAAAACGAGTCATTTTCTGAGCCTGGTGTCAATAAAAGCTTTTATTGGACTAACAAGGACATTTTCAGTTCTGAAACTTACAGGGTATTTTAATATGATGACCTCTTAAAAGCTCAATGAATATTTGATTTCTCAGTTCATCACCCCTTTAAAGGTTTCTTTATACTTATTAACTTACAAATGAGTTGCAGTCAGATTTTGGACACATTTGGACATGTAGGTCACACTTAAAATCTGAATTTCACTCGATAGATGCAAAAAATCAAGAGGCATATGTGCTAAAACAATGCTTAAGTATAACCACTTTTAAAAAATTGTATCTTTTCTGAGCCACTTTTAAAAAAAATGTTTTAAGAGACCATTTTGTCTCTTTTCATGGATGTATGAAGTCTCTTCAAAAAGTGAAAGTGTCCAAAACTTGTCTATATTTTCAACATTTATATTTGAATGTATATTTTGAAACCTAACAACGATCTTCATTTGCATTTTTTTTTCGCTGAAAATATCTGTGTGTCTATATATATATATATACATATACGTGACTTGCACTGCTTTAATGTCTTGATTCCTATCAGTTCATGGATTTCCTTGGAATTGAACCGTTGTAACTTGACTGTTTGGGCTACAAGTATTTGATTACTGTTAGATTAATTTCCGAAATTAAACATCTTTGTAGGAATTATATTTGCCAATGGAGAGAGCTGGAAAGAGATGAGACGGTTTGCTCTCACCAATTTACGAGACTTCGGGATGGGGAAGAGACAAATTGAGGAGAAAATCGTACAGGAAACATGCCATTTACGAGATGAATTTGAGAAGTTTGAAGGTAAAGTAATCAATAATCAATGCTTCTAAAGAGACTTGATGCATGTAAAGCAAGGTTTCAAAAGTCATCAAGAAAATCACTAGTAATACAGAAATATAGCCATGGTCATCAAATGGAGTTGAACACATCTACCTTTTCTTCCATAGGAAAACCTTTTGAAACCACACAGTTGATTAACTACGCTGCCTCAAGTGTCATTTCTGCCATTGTGTATGGCCGTAGATTTGAGTATACAGACCCTCACCTGCGGAGAATGGTGGATCGAGCCAATGAGAGCGTCAGACTGAGTGGAACGGCATCCGTGCAGGTTTACACTTGATTTGAATATAACCTGTGAGAATTAATTAGTTTATAATGGTATACACTATTCAATTACACTCTAAAAAATGCAGGGTTGTTTTAACCCAATTTTTGGTCGAATATGAACAAACCCAGCCATTGGGTTACATTTTTTAAATTAAATTTTGAACCCAATGTTTGAGTCCATATTTGACCCAAAATTGGGTTAAAACAACCCAGCATTTTTTAGAGTGTATGGTAAAATAAACATCTCCTGATTTTGGTTCTCCAGCTCTACAACATGTTCCCTTTCTTGGGTTCATGGATCAAGAATTGGAGACACCTCATGAAAAACCTTGAGCTTGATATCAAAGAGATATCAGAGCTGGTGAGCAGTTTAAGTCAATCGCTGAACCCACAGGACCTCAGAGGCGTTGTCGATTCGTTCCTCATCCGCAAGCAGACCGCAGAAGTAAGATCAATATAGCGCAGCTTAAAATTTGAAAGATCATCATCTTGTTTTTTTTTTGGTTTTTTACTTTTTTAAATCTCTAACGTACCATTTGATCAGGAATCTGGAGAGAAGAACTCACTTTTCCACAAGCAGAACATCATTTACACAATCGGCAACCTGTTCATCGCTGGTACGGACACCACTAGTACAACAGTGCGCTGGAGCTTGCTGCTTATGGCCAAATATCCACATATACAGGGTATGATTGAAATATTGCAATTGGCTGAAATGTTTTCGTAAAACATAATTCTGGGTTTACAATTTAAAATCAGCTCAACAGCATTTGAGGCATTATGTTGATTACCAAGGGAAAACAGTGAGGCACTTACAGTACATACAATGGAGATGAATGAGGCCATTCGATAAATGTTAAAACACTTACTGTTTCAATAATATAACCACAATTAATATGCGAACAAAATCCCCCACTAAAGCAAACATTGATCACCATAATGGTGATTTCAAACCAAACTATTTTCAATACAACATCGACATCTAAACTTCTGTTAATTCTCAATAAGAACTTCTGTAGATATCTGACAGAAATAAAGCAGTCTGGTTAGTAATAAGTGAAGCAGGTAATGCTGTTTGTGGAGTTGTTTAATCCTCCTTTGCTGAGATCTTCAAAGATTTGATGTCTTCTTTTTATCTTCAGTTGATTGCAACTAAGGCCTTGGCTGGAAATTAGTTGTTGTAGTCCGTGTTTCAGTGTGATGTTTAATCCAACCAAAATTGGATGTCTGCCCAACATTGGAGCTTGAGTGAAACAAATGTTCGGTTTAGACCTCGACCCGATTTTCATTCGCAACCAAAATTGGACATCTGACTGACGTTGGAGTCCACATCCAGTGTCCACTGGGAAACTTCTAGCTAAAAAGTTTAGGAGAACGTTAGGAGATGGTGTTATAACAAGGTTATCTAAACATTTTTGTTATCCTACCTTCCAGAAGAATACACAGCAAAATCCACAGTGTTAATTAATGGTCAGGTCAAACACACAACACAACACAAAAAAACCATCAGATCGCCTATTCTATTTGTTCATCTGGCTGTTATAAGTCACATACAGCAGCCGAACAAAACCTAAAGTTTTGATTTAAGGGTCAAGAGCCCAGCTAAAGCAAACATTGATCACCATAATGGTGACTTAAAATTTCGTTTTTCTTCTTCAGAGATTCTGCTTGTGAACATCAGATGTCTTCAATAATGCTCAATTCAATTATTCACTTAATTATCTCATTCAGTGTTCATTTTACACATTTTGCTCAGAGTTTATATAAGGCTATGTTTACACGGAAACGATTCTGAAGACAAAACGAAAAAGTGGCGTTGCATCATCACTTTTTATTCTGCGTTTAGACGAGCGTTTTGTGTGGGAAATCCGCGTGCAAATGGAGACGCAAAAGTCTGTGAAATTCAATGTAGTATGCACTTCAGGCATCCGATAAAATATTTTTACGTTTTCACCCGCGAGCGTTCTCGTGTAATATATTTTAAAATATTTCAAAATTTTGTTAAATATTTTATCGGATGTGCCTTTCGCTTACACGGCGACAGGCTTTTTGAGGCTTAAAAACGCAAAAAAGTGAAACCACCCTCCAGAGTGGAAATCTTAAAAACGCTCCACCGCCGCGTTAACGTGTCAATGGTAAAAACGCAAAAGTCTGCTTGACTGTGAAGTTTGTACGCAGGCGCATGGACTTGGTGGTGTTGTAGTATGCACTCCTAGCCGCCTGAAGTGCATACTACATTGAATTTCACACACTTTTGCGTCACCATTTGCACGCGGATTTCCCACACAAAACGCTCGTCTAAACGCAGAATAAAAAGTGATGATGCAACGCCACTTTTTCGTTTTGTCTTCAGAATCGTTTCCGTGTAAACATAGCCTCAGTGTTAATTTAACACTGGGGGTTTTACTATTCTGGGAACAAATATAAAACTTGACACTGAAAATATTACTGTCTTGTGCTTCGCATTTTTAAACTCGTATTTATTTTTTATTAAAAAAGAAGAGGAGGAAGGAATGATTTTTTTTTTAATGATAATCCACATTATGCCACAAATGTTGAAGACTGAGCTGAACTTGTACTGAACCAGAATATTGCCTACATCAAACAGTCTCAATATATATATTTAAAAAAAATATTATCAGGCATGACGTTTCTGTTTTAACTGGAAAGTGTTTTGCTTGATAAATATACTTTGGACGTTTGCAGATCGCGTTCAAGAGGAGATTGATCAGATGATTGGTGGACGGCAACCGGTTACAGAGGACAGGAAGAACTTACCGTATACAGACGCTGTGATCCATGAAACCCAGAGACTAGCCAACATTGTACCGATGAGTCTCCCTCATATGACCAGCTGTGATGTTCACTTCAATGGATACTTCATCAAGAAGGTCAGCATACTATAAATTAATACAAAATACAGAAAGTAGACTATCTTTTTCGTTTTTGTACTATGCTACTCATGGTAGTACCGTCACATTTCTTGCAGTAATGTACATTGTAAACACCATATCATATCAAAAAATAAAGACGTGATATTTTTCCTTTTGCAGGGCACATGCATATTTCCTCTTCTAACGTCTGTATTGTGGGATGAAGATGAATGGGAAACACCCCACACCTTTAACCCTGAACACTTCCTGGACGAGCGTGGTCGATTTGTCAAGAGAGACGCCTTCCTGCCCTTCTCTGCAGGTACTACTTTCCTTCACGTATAGGGCTTGATTGTCTTCTTTATTCGTGTAATATACTTTTTTAAATGCACTCAAAAAATGATATTTTGACTTTGATATTTTTTTTATGTAAACAGGTTCCACATAACTGGGTTACTTTAATCAAACATAACACGTTCATGTAACTTCAACAATTGAATTAAGTAATTTTAAGCCACCCAATTAAACTCTGAGCTGATTGTTAAAGGGATACTCAACTTTTTTTTAAAAATAGGCTCATTTTACAACTCCCACAGAGTTAAACAGTCCAGTTTTACCGTTTTCGAATCCATTCCACCGATTTTCTGATATTTAGAAGAATATCAGTAACCAATCAGTTTCTGGTCTCATTCACTTCCATAGTAGGAAAAAAAAATACTATGGAAGTCAATGAGACCAGAAACTGCTGGTTACTGATATTCTTCTAAATATCAGAAAATCGGCTGCATACATTCGAAAACGGTAAAACCCAACTGTTTAACTCTGGGGGAGTTGTAAAAAGAGCCAATTTCCAAAAAAAAAGAGGAGTATCCCTTTAAATGAACACTGAAGCAGTGTTAAATTCAGGCTATGTTTACACGGAAACGATACTGAAGAGAAAACGCAAAAGTGGCGTTGTGTCATCACTTTTTATTCTGCATTTAGACGAGCGTTTTGTGTGGGAAATCCGCGTGCAAATGGTGACGCAAAAGTGTGTGATATTCAATGTAGTATGCACTTCAGGCGGCTAGGAGTGCATACTACAACAACACCAAGTCCGAGCACCTGCATACAACCTTCACTGTCAAGCAGACTTTTGCGTTTTTACCGTTCGTACGGGAACGCGGCGGTGGAGCGTTTTTAAGATTTCCGCTCTGGAGGGTGGTTTCACTTTTTTGCGTTTTAAGCCTCAAAAAGCCTGTCGCCGTCTAAACAAAAGGCACATCCGATTAAATATTTTTTACATTTTCACCCGTGAGCGTTCTCGTGTAAACAGGGCCAATGAGATCATAAAGTGAATAATTGAGTGATGATTGACCATTATTGAAGACACCTGATGTTAACAAGCAGAATCACTGAAGGAGAAACCAGAATTTCAGGTCACCATTATGGTGATCAGTATTTGGTTTAGTTGGGCTGTTGACCTTCACATCTTTAACTTCAACCAAATCTCTCTCTCTCAGGCCGCAGGGCTTGTCCTGGAGAGAGTTTGGCCAGGATGGAGCTCTTCCTGTTCTTCACGTCCCTCCTTCAGCATTTCCGCTTTACTCCTCCTCCTGGAGTATCTGAAGATGATCTGGATCTCACACCAGCGGTGGGCTTCACCCTGAACCCAGCCTCACACAAACTGTGCGCAGTGAAACGCTTGTGAAATCTGTTCATTCTGTTAACAGTAAAGTTGATAGTTTTCAATCAGAAACAGCACTTGCATCATACTTGTGTGTTTTCTTTATGTTCAAAAAGCGTTGAACAACCGCCATATGTATACTGAAGAAAATATATGTCCTTATTGTGTGACTTTTAAGTCCTGTCTGCATTAAACAGTGGCTCTACTAGCTTACATAAGAGTTTTTACATGATATTATTTTTCGAGGCTTTTAAAAGAATGAAATTGTCTTTTTTTTTTTAGTCACGGCTCAGCACACACATTAGATTTACGAAGGATAAAAAAAAAAGTTCAAAAATTGTTTACAATAAGATCATAAAGAATTTCATTACACATTCACACACACACACACACACACACACACACACACACTACACAGATAGCAAGCAACCATTTAAACAATGTTAAAGGGTAACTAAACCCTAAAACAACTTTTTTAGTTAATGATCTGTAATACTGGGGCTTTATTAATGCTGTTTGACATTTGGGTTTAAACTTTAAAGCTACACTGTGTACCTCTTGTAGTTTATTCTTCGCTAAAAACACTTAGTTCTTTCAAAAATATATGTGCTCATTATTGTATATTTACTTTGTTCAAGTAATAAAGTATTCTCGTGAGTGTATAATATGTCATTGAAAATACTGACACAGTCTCATCCCAAGAAGTCATATAACTGACGTTTTGGGACGTCTTTTGACCATACGTCAATATCCGCCTTTTTAGGGCCCCCTAAAACGTCGGTAGATGACGATCCCGGGCCGTCATACAACTGACGCTTTACCTTTAACGTCAGTTAGGTGACGGGGTAGGTTTCGGTCTGGGGTGGAGTCATCTACCGACGTTTAAGGGGGCCCTAAAAAGGCTGATATTGACGTATGGTCAAAAGACGTCCCAAAACGTCAGTTATATGACATCTTGGGATGAGACTGCGCTGAAAATACATTCGGGTAAGGGGTTCTAATGTCGGTCGCCATGTTGCCCCTCCATCTTGAAAGTACATTAGCCAAAGAGGGACATACCCGTTAATTTAAGCGTCGCCTTTCGCGTTTACGTTTGAGTTAACACTCATGGACGAGGTCGAACTGGAATCCATGTTAATCTTGGACTACATCGGCCACCGTAGGAGTTAAAACGAAATCGGAATTGAGAGGAACAGAAACTAATATTCACTGGATGGTCATATACCTTTTCACCGCTAGATGGGGGTAAAAATCACACGGTGTAGCTTTAAAGTGTTTTAATTCTACAATATATGGTATAAAAACGTCTGAGTGCTGCCCTCTTCGGGTTAAACTGTGGCTACTGCAGTTGAAATTTCCTATTGGAAGTTGTGGTACTCTGTGATGTCAGAGAGTACCAGCTCACCACGCCCTCAGGTGCACGGCCTTAGTACTGCAACAAGTGTGCAATATCAGAGTTTTTTTTTATTTTTATTTTTTTTAGTTTAATGCAAAACAGGTTCATCTGGAAGGAGGTGTTGTCGGGACAGTTGAAACAAGTTACTTGTCAGGGATTGTTCACAGAAAAAATTATTAGATCAATAGTTCCTGTATAATCTGTTCTGTTTCATCCATTCCACCCATGTTTCAATTGCCCCACCCAGGCGGGACGATTGAAACAAAGCTCAACTACCGTACAAAGTTTTAGTACCGAATAAGAGAACTGATATGTGAGATGTTGATCACAAAAACAAACAAAACAATGTTTATCTGGAATGTGTTTCAGCTCTCCCCTACAAATATAAGTTCCTCCCTCCATCCCACAGACATCGTCCCACATCCTGATGCTATCACTTCCCCAGGTAAATGTCACATCCGCACATGGCCGTCCATGACATGTGCTGTAAAAGGAAACGGGACTCATTGGACCAGGCGACCTTTTCCCACTGCTCCAAGGTCCAGTTCCAACATGCACGTTTCCATCGCAGGCATTTTTGATGGTGGACAAGGGTCATAGGCTCTCTGATTGGTCTGTGGCTACACAGCCCCATACATAGCAGAGTGTGGCACATTCTTCACATAAGCATCATTAACATTTTGTGACTTGTACCACAGTACTTCTTTTGCCTCGGACCAGACTGTATAGCCTACGTTGTCCTTGTGCATCGATGAGTCTCGAGCGCCCAACACCAATCCAACGCTCAAATCTTTATTCCTGCCCATTTCTCCTAAAACACATTGATTGTGAGAACTGATTGTTTGGTTACCAGCTAATCTACCCAGACCTTAATATATGAACTTGTTAAAGGACAACTCCGGCACAAAATGAACCTTTGGTCTAATTACACATTGTTACTGTTATCTGAGATTTGTTTCATGATTGCCGAATGTAAATAGTTTTATCTCTAAAAACAGTTTAGAGTATAACGCTAGAATAACACTACACTGTAAAAAAAATCCTAATTTCAAAGAAAATAACTGTGATTTTTGACGACCATTTTCTTTCATTTAAAATTGTACTCAAAACACTGCAAAAAATTAAAATGCAGCTGATATTTTAGGTATTGTTACATTAAAGAAAAAATTCCAGTCATTCACATTTTTTTTTACAGAAATTGATTGTATTTTTCATACAGTATTTTTCTGTTTTCTTCAATTACATAAACATTTATGTAAATGTACAAATAAAATTAAATTAAATGGATGAATTAAATGGTAACAAAACAGTTAAATGATTACATGACTGTAGCTCAAAAAACTGTAACATTAAAGTAAAACGTCATAAATTAAATAAACTGAAAAACACTGTTATTTACAGGTATGTCCTGCATTATTATGATCAAATACCTTCATTGTAAAAAAAAAATCATACAAAAATGGTCAAATGACTGGCAACATGTACAGTTAGGACAGGTATCGCATGAAACCCCTGTAAACACACACACAGGTATCTGATGCACATGTACAGTTAGGCAGTGGTGGAATGTAACGAAGTACAAATACGTTGTTACTTTACTTAAGTACATTTTTCACGTATCTTTACTTTACTTAAGTAGAATAAATAGCGCATACTTTTTACTTTTACTTTGTTACATTTTGCAGCAATTATTATACTTTCTACTCCACTACATTTCTACAACTTCGGTTACATTTTCATTACATTATCTGATCAGTTTTTCCCCTGCCAAAACGTAATCTGACCGTCCGTCCGTTGCACGTTTGTCTCACCAATGACGTTTGGTCGCCATAGAGCCTCCATTTTTGCACTCAGGACTAAGTCCCATGGCCCTCTATCAGAATCCAGATTTTCAAGAAGATTAGAGAAACTTAATTTTTCGCACAAAAAAAAAAAAAAAACGACAGGAGTAACACTGTCGTTTTTTTTTTTTTTTGGGTCGAAATTTTGAGTTTCTCCAATCTTCTTGAAACTCTGGATTCTGATAGAGGGCCATGGGACTTAGACCTGAGTGCAAAAATGGAGGCTCTAGACCCTTCCAGAGCTGAGATATTGAGATACCACATGGCATTCATGCCATTATAAATATCTCAATATCTCAGCTCTGGAAGGGTCTAGAGCCTCCATTTTTGCACTCAGGTCTAAGTCCCATGTCCCTCTATCAGAATCCAGAGTTTCAAGAAGATTGGAGAAACTTATTTTTTCGCACAAAAAAAAAAAACAACAACAGGGGTAACACTGTTGGTTTTTTTTTGGGGGGGGGGGGGGTCGAAATTTTGAGTGTCTCCAGTCTTCTTGAAACTCTGGATTCTGATAGAGGGCCATGAGACTTAGACCTGAGTGCAAAAATGGAGGCTCTAGACCCTTCCAGAGCTGAGATATTGAGATCCCACGTGGCATATGCCATTATAAATATCTCAATATCTCAGCCCTGGAAGGGTCTAGAGTCTCCATATTTGCACTCAGGTCTAAGTCTCATGGCCCTCTATCAGAATACAGAGTTTCAAGAAGATTGGAGGAACTCAAAATTTCGACACAAAAAAAAAAAACGACAGTGTTACCCCCTTTCGTTTTTTTTTTTTTGTGCGAAAAAATAAGTTTCTCCAATGTTCTTGAAACTCTGGATTCTGATAGAGGGCCATGGGACTTAGACCTGAGTGCAAAAATGGAGGCTCTAAACCCTTCCAGAGCTAAGATATTGAGATCCTACGTAGCATTTATGCCATTATAAATTTCTCAATATCTCAGCTCTGGAAGGGTCTAGAGCCTCCATTTTTGCACTCAGGCTTAAGTCTCATGGCCCTCTATCAGAATTCAGAGTTTTGAGAAGATTGGAGAAACTTAATTTTTCGCCCGAAAAAAAAAAAACCGAAAGGGGTACCACTGTCGTTTTTTTTTTCGGGTCGAATTTTTGAGTTTCGATATCTCAGCTCTGGAAGAGTTTAGAGCCTCCATTTTTGCACTCAGGTTTAAGTCTCATGGCCCTCTATCAGAATCCAGAGTTTTGAGAAGATTGGAGAAACTTAATTTTTCGCCCGAAAAAAAAAAAACGAAAGGGGTACCACTGTCGTTTTTTTTTTTTTCGGGTCGAATTTTTGAGTTTCGATATCTCAGCTCTGGAAGAGTTTAGAGCCTCCATTTTTGCACTCAGGTTTAAGTCTCATGGCCCTCTATCAGAATCCAGAGTTTTGAGAAGGTTGGAGAAATTTAATTTCTCACCCGAAAAAAAAAAACGAAAGGGGTACCACTGTCGTTTTTTTTTTTTCGGGTCGAATTTTTGAGTTTCGATATCTCAGCTCTGGAAGAGTTTAGAGCCTCCATTTTTGCACTCAGGTTTAAGTCTCATGGCCCTCTATCAGAATCCAGAGTTTTGAGAAGATTGAAGAAACTTAATTTTTCGCCCGAAAAAAAAAACGAAAGGGGTACCACTGTCGTTTTTTTTTTTTTTCGGGTCGAATTTTTGAGTTTCGATATCTCAGCTCTGGAAGAGTTTAGAGCCTCAATTTTTGCACTCAGGTTTAAGTCTCATGGCCCTCTATCAGAATCCAGAGTTTTGAGAAGGTTGGAGAAATTTAATTTCTCACCCGAAAAAAACCCCCGAAAGGGGTACCACTGTCGTTTTTTTTTTTCGGGTCGAATTTT